GTCCTAGACTTATGACCACAATTGAGCCCAAACTTTCTGTTGCTAAGCAACACATTTGTTAAGTGAATTTCACCCCATTTTAACAAACTTCCTTGAACATTTGTTAAGTGAATTACTGAATTTAGGAACATGGTTCTTAAGTGAATCTGGCTTCCCCATTGGCTTTGCTTGTCAGAAGGACACTGGAACCATCATAAGAATAAGTCAGTTGTCAAGCACCTGAATTTTGACAAAGGAAGTTCTGCAGGTTATAGCAAGAAAATCTTTTGACCACATGGCATTGGGAAGGGGTAGGCAACTGTGGCTCTTTTATGACTCGTGGACTTCAACTCCCAGAATTCCTGAGCCAGCCATGCTGGCTCAGGAATTCTGGGTGTTGAAGTCCACGAGTCATAAAACAGCCACAGTTGCCTACCCCTGACCATGGGGATGCCGCAACGATCATAACTGTGAAAAACCTTTTTTCAGTGCGGTTGTAACTTCAATAGTTCCATGTGCTGTTTCCAGTCTTGAATGTTGTCTTCATGACAACATATTTTCGTGTTATTTCTGGACTGAAGTTTTACTTTGTGGAGATTATTGCAACTTCAGTTTCTATTGTCTAAAATGGTACAACAAAAGCTGCCTTAGAAAGGACTCAGTAAGTAGATAAAAAATGCCAAATCCAGTCTAAACATCTGACTGACTGCAACGAATCATAATTTATTAGATGAAGGTACATTTTTCGTCCCTCCCTCAGTTCGCAAACACACTTGCATTTTAAATGTTTTCTCAATATTAGATATGTTGCGCCATTGGGCATTCCATAAGAAAGGAGCTCCTGCTCTAATTTTGCTCTAACTGAGAGCAAAAGAATGTCCTGGGGTAGAGGGTCTAATCCACAATAGCAATGCTGGTTTTCCCCCCTTGTTGCTGATTAATGTGCAACTATTAGCTCACTGTCATTACAAAAAGAAAATCCCTAACTTTTCAGCACAGAAAAAAAATTGAGGTGATAACTGGCTGCTTCCAATGGCTAGCTAGCGGGCTATTATAGTACATAGGCTTCAAAGACAACCAAGAAATAGTCCATGGTCATTGGAGGTTAAAAGAAAGTATTGCAGCTTCCTGTTAATACATTGTCTAAATTGTCTGTACATTTTCTAATATACAGTCCCTGTATAATGATATTGATATTCTCTTTTTCCTCCTTTTTTAACCTCAGTATGCTTTGCCACTTCAACTGGTGAATAACCAAACCATGACTCAGTGGATGGAGATTTTCCGGACTGTCATTGACAGAAGTGTGCCTCCTGTAAGGTTTACATTATTGGACAACTTTAATATCCTTTAGTGCATTGGCAAAAAGGGAAGTTTAGGTTGAGGAACATTCTTATTCAACTATGTGGAGGGCTTGTTCTGCTTTTGCCGTGTTCTTGTGGTTTAAAAGAAGGTGTAAGGAGGAAGTGGAGCCATTGCTCACACTCCCTTGCTTTTCGCTCAGCAAGAATATCATGTATGAAAATCAAAGCAGTTCGAAATCTAGGTATGTTAAATTGTGGTCCTGACTAAGGTTATTAAACACTACAGTGCCTGGATCATGTAGGTCTACTTTTCTCTTTGGCTATGCTTTCTCTGGCTTCCCTGCTGGGAGCAGGTGCCTGCTGCTGGTAGATGGGAATATAGTTGTTATCTATATGAGAGCATATTTTATTGGTTGAATATAGGAGTGGGCAACCCATAAACCTTTTATGACTCTGTCTCCAGATTGTGCTGCTGAAATATGGCGACAAAATGGCTAATTGTTTGGGCAAGTTTTGTGGTGGGCTTGGAGGATTGAAAGTGGGTATGTGAGCAGCTGGCCTACCATTCCTGTTTAAACATTCAAAAACCAAACCCCTCCATTTTAACTGCATGCCTTCTGGTAGTATCACTGTAGCACAGGATGGCTTCCTGCAGCTTTAAAAAAGTTCTTGCTACTCACCCCTGACATACTGAATTTAAAACATGTGGATCACTTTATATGAATGGCATGCTCCTTGAGAACATGCTAAGATAAGATCCTGTTGTCAGTAGGCCATTATCAGCACAATTTGAAGGCTCTTTCTAAGAGCTGTGGTGGCGCAGTGGTTAGAATGCAGCATTGCAGGCTAACTCTGCATTCCATTGCCAGGAGTTCAATCCTGATCCTCTCAAGGTTGACTCAGCTTTCCATCCTTCTGAGGTCAGTAAAATGAGAGCCCACGTTGTTGGGGGCAATATGCCGACTGTGTAAACTGCTTAGAGAGTGCTGTAAAGCACTGTGAAGCGGTGTATAAGTCTAAATGCTATTGCTAAATTGTGTCTAGAAGCTACAAAGGCTGTAGATTCTCCTTATCATGCTCCATTAATGTTAACTGCTCACTCATGGCTGTTGATGACTGATAGCTCTTTCCTTTGGTTAGGAAACTCTGCAGGTTGATGAAGATGATCGGCCAGAGTTGGTGTGGTGGAAATGTAAGAAGTGGGCTCTGCGGATTGTTGCTCGTCTTTTTGAAAGGTTATTATGCTAATAACAAAGAATGACATTTCTAAATTCTGTTTTGGCACGTTTATAATGTTTCCAAATCGTAAATGTTTAAAAACAAAATTGCCCCAAGTTCAAGTATCAGCAAATCTTCAAAAAATTGCTCTTATCAGCCAAAAAAATGTGGCAATTTTATTGGAATTTGTACATTCCTTTTGCCATAAAGATTGCTTTTAATTCCATGAGTGGAAATTAATAGGATGCTTAATGATAATGAGGTATATTTTAGTATCTGTGTATAAAGTAACGTATTTTATCTTCTTTTGCGTTTAAATTTTTAAAGGTATGGTAGTCCTGGAAATGTAACAAAAGAATATTTTGAATTTTCTGAATTCTTCTTGAAAACCTATGCTGTGGGAATCCAACAGGTAAAGGCTTGTCTTATTTAGTGAAATAAAATGACAACTTGGTAGCAAGCATTTTAACTTGCCCTTTTATAGCATATACTGACATTTATTGTTATGTAAAAGAGTGGTGATTACACCACTTGGATAAGCCTTGGATAAGAGGTATGGGAGATGATTGATCACATCCTGTAAAACTGTTTATAAGCTGTTATGGATAATGAGGTGGCTTGTGTTCTCTTAGCTGAAACAACCTAAATTTTAGTATTTCGAACCCATTAAAGGCCCCTACACTTTGCTTAATCAGAAATTTCTATTGCGGGAAGCATTGTTTGTAGCTCTCATCTCTGAGTTATCATTTAGTTGGCTGTTTGGAGGATTGGATTTGGCCCACAGTTTCCAGCTGATGATCCTAATAGATAGGCTGTATATTATTACAGGAATCTTCTTTAAAGGATTTCATTTTCATCATTTTCATTCAGGAAATTGTTAATGGATCAGTACCATCCTTAGGAGTCTAGGAAAGTCCAGGGTACATTTTCTATGGAAATGTGATTGCTAGCTTTACTTTTTTTAGTCAGATCTTTCTCCATCATATCAATCTGTTAGCTGAAATTAAAACATCATCTAGGATGTGACAAATATATTAGCTTTTATCTTTTGCTTAAAATGATTATGGAGATTCCTTTTCCAGTACTTCAAACATGATGGGTCAATGTTGAATTGTACATAATTATGTCACAATGCCTTCAACTTTCCTTTAGGTACTCCTAAAAATCTTGGATCAATACAGGCAGAAAGACTATGTAACTCCACGTGTCCTTCAACAAACATTAAACTATCTGAACCAGGGAGTCCATCACTGTATAACCTGGAAGCAGATGAAACCCCATATTCAGGTCAGTATAAGAGTAGCAATTTGTACCTGTGGGTAAACTCTGAAAATGTGAGTTAGAACTTTTATTATAGTTTTGAAATAGTGGTAACAATTGAGTAAGTTATAACTGTAATGGCAACACAGGCACAGGAACAACCATAGCATGTTGCCCCCAACAATCTGTGCCCTCATTTTACTGACCTCGGAAGGATGGAAGTCTGAGACAACCTTGAGCCCGTCAGGATCGAACTCCTGGAAGTAGGCAGAGTTAGCCTGCAACGCTGCATTCTAACCACTGCCCCACCACGGCTTGGATAATCAGTTAATTACACAGTTGTTTCCTTTGCCTGAATTTCTATCTTTCACAGTGCCTATAAGATCAATTTCCAGAAATAGTCATGTTTAATCTACAAGATATTGCCTCAAATGTAAGGCTGTTATCAAGTGAATATTTTCCTTTGCCATTTACCCCCCACGTCATTATGTAAAAGGTGTGATGTGATTCACTGCAGTGCAAATTCCCACAAATAGTACAAATTGTGCTAGAACTATTATTGCAGTTTCAGTCACAATGTGCAAAGGTGGATAGTCAATTTGGCTTTAGTATTCCAGATTAGTTTCTAAATGGGTAGAGAATGGAGCATCCTTGTCTGGAGGATCTTTTGTAGAAGGAAAGATGGAGTGGGATGTAATCTCCCCAGCATTAAAAACTCCTCCATCCAGTGTAAAGATTCATCTGAAGTCCTAAAGTACTAATTTCTGAATCCTGAGATTTTATCAAGTGGAATTATAGAGCATAAGATGGGCCTACAATCTCAGGAAAAGAAGCAGTTGCATTAAGGAGATGCAGAGAGATGCTCCACAGTATGTTTTGTGCAGCTCCAGAGTGCTGCATGGCCTTATTATGTTCACTTTTATGTTGTCTCTTTCCTAAAATCCTTTACAGATGATATTTCTCTGCATACATAATTTTAAAAGTGTTCTTTTGAGGGAACTGTTATATTTGGATTGACAAACATTGGCAGTGATTCTCTTTAAGTCTCAATTTACATCTGCAAAATGGGAATAAATGATGAATTGGGGCTTTACAATATGATATTAAAAGCATAAAAGGTCTTTTGGGGCTTATTGTGTACAATGAAATCCCTATTCTATTTTTTTTATTAGCAGTGGAAATTGATATGTCTTAAAGTAGCTTGTTTCTTCTTCCTCTCTGTTAAGAGTTCTCCAACAAGAATGATAATCCTTAGGGTTCTTTCTGATGGGCAGGAGATTCTATTGCATCCCATTCAATATAGTGTCTTTTTTTCCCTCAAGGACCCTATCATGTACGTGGCCAAAATTGAAGGCTCCATAACATGCACTTTGTTTTCTCCAGCACTGGAGATGGAGGATCCACCCGTGGGTAGTGACTGTATTCCTGCCCAATCAGATCAAGTCAGGAATACAGTCACTACCCACAGGTGGATCCTCCATCTCCGTGCTGAGAAAAGGCGTTCAGGTAAGACAACGCCCCTTCTCATAAGTAAAACACAAAGAATTTGATGCAGCTCACCTCTCAGACCTTCGGCTTGGGCCTAACTCTTTTGGGAATGAAAAACTGTAACCGTGATCAAACTGAATGAACAAGTAGCTTTTAATTATATCTCAGCTGGAGAGAAAATAATTGATGCCAGAGTTAGTTTAGCCATAGCAAGAGCACTTAGACTCATATGCTGCTTTATAGTGTTTTACAGCCCTCTCTAAGCGGTTTACAGAGTCAGCATTTTGCCCCCAACAATCTGTGTCCTCGTTTTACTGACTTCACAAGAACGGAAGGCTGAGTCAACCGTGAGCCCATCAGTTTGGTCTAGTGGTTAAGGCACCAGACTAAAAAAGCAGGAGAGTCTCATCTTAATCATGAAAGCCAGCTGGGGTGATTTTGGGCCAGTCACTCTCTTTCAGCTCAATCCATATCAAAGGATTGTTGGGGGAAAATAGGAGGTGAAAGGTATGTTGGATATGTCGCTGCCTTGAGTTATTTGTAAAAATTATAAAGCTGGAATACAAACAAATAAAATGTGGGCAATATTTAAGCAAAGCAACTCGGAACAGGGAATATATTCCTGGCTTTAAGAGGATCTCCACTGCTTGTCACATGATACATTGTATATTGCGGCTTTATGAAGAATGTTTTTTTAAGGTGAACAACTGCGTGATTATTAACTCTTAAGATACAGTAAACAAGCATCAGTTTGTTGTAGTGGCTAAGACACTGGGCTAGAAATTGGGAGATCATGATTATCTTCCCTTAAGCATGGAAGCTATCTAGGTGACTTTGGGTCACTGGCTATCTCTTAGCTCAACTCACCTCATAGAGTTGTAGCTGTGGGGAAAATAGCATAGATCAAAAATAAATAGAATAATAACTTTGAATGTACATTAATCGGCATAAATTAAAATGAAATTTTGTTGCATACAACTCTCAAATATACACTACATAAATATGACAAAAATAAAAAATAAATAAATAAATAAATACAGAATTATGCATATACCCACATATATTATATGACACAGAGAAACAACAGTCCTGTTTGGGTTATGTATACATGTGCATGGTGAGAAAAACGAATCTTGCGAGTTTACCAGATGGATGGCCTAGGGAACAAAGCTATTACAGAATCGGGCAGTCCTGCTAGAAATACTTTGAAACCTCCTCCCAGAGGGGAGCAACAGAAACGGACCGTAAAGTGGGTGTGGGGGGTCTCTAACAATGCTTTGAGCTCTAAGCACATAGCACTTATAAGCAGCATCCTGAATACCAGGAAGCGAGCTTCCTATGATCTTCTCGGCTGTCCTTACCAATTTCCGTATGGAGGTTGGATAGCAAACATATTCAATTACATTTGATCTCCTCTTTGCTTTCCTTATTAGACTTTGTGTGAAGACATCATCTTTTCTTTGATGTGTTATAAAGATGAAGATGAAGAACTCTGGCAGGAGGACCCGTATGAATACATCCGCATGAAATTTGGTAATTTTTATTTGTCAGTTGTCACTGGTATCTGCCCCTGGAAAACACCTGGTGATGATACACATTGCTGTGCGTTTAGGTCAGAGGTAGGCAACCTTGGCTCTTTTATGACTCGTGGACTTCAACTCCCAGAATTCCTGAGCCAGCTATGCTGGCTCAGGAATTCTGGGAGTTGAAGTCCACGAGTCATAAAAGAGCCAAGGTTGCCTACCCCTGATTTAGGTCAACCAACACTTGGTGCTTTTTGTTTGCGCAAGACCGGAGAGCATGGTATACTGTACTGCAAAGTGCCTGTATATCTGATTGCTTATCCACCCCACTCCTAAGCTCCTGTTTTCCCTAACCCTTATGAACTATGATTGTAGAGAAAAGTGTATAAGAACTGGAGACTGAAGTTGGCAGAAGCAAAATGATGCAGTAAAAAGATAAGACATTGGTTGTGAGCAGTTCATCGCCAATAATGATTATTATAATGATAAAAATGTTTGTTTCAGTTGAAGATTATGCCATGGACATGTGATGAAAAATGAAAAAGTAAAGTATTTGTTTGATGTGTAGAAAAATGGCTTTGGCAGTGTGGCCAATGCTGGTCAGGATTTAGACTTCTTTTATGAAGTTCAAGATAATTTACTAAAAGCTTTAAGAGAATCACACTTTATTGGGGTTAATTGATTCCAACGTATCTTATTTGACATCAGATTTCTTCAACAAGAGTTCAGTGTAATTTTTACCTTTCCTGTTAATAACACACTGTTTGCATATGGCTATTTTCTCACTACATTCCAATATTGAATATAAAAATGTAGATGTTCATCACTATATTAAGAATTAATTTATTGAGTGTGAGAGTATTATTATTATTATTTATTATTTATTATATTTTTACCCCGCCCTTCTCCTTGCGGACTCAGGGCGGCTAACAGCCTAATAAAAACAAATACAAAAGTACAAAAATACTACCATTAAAACGTAATTAAAAGGAAATATTAATTTGGCCTTTGTTATTTTAAAATTGTATTAAAACCCAACTAAAAATACCCCTTAGGCCAGTCCTGCCAGCTTAAATAGCCATGTCTTGAGGGCGCGGCG